GTAGTAGTAGTAGTAGTAGTAGTAGTAGTAGTAGTAGTAGTAGTAGTAGTAGTAGTAGTAGTAGTAGTAGTAGTAGTAGTAGTAGTAGTAGTAGTAGTAGTAGTAGTCACATCCTTTATTGCTGAACCCACAAATAATTGTGATACAAATTGTAAACCATCCGAGGAAGAAGAGAAAGCCATTAAAAATAAAAAATAAAACAAAAAAAAGGTTATTGTACCATGCCAAACGGCTATTATTAAGTCATGTACCAATTGTAATACATGACGTAGTATAGTAGTCAAGCACCTACAAAATACTTTGCAGGATAATATTTAAATTGCCTAGCATGCCTACAAATCCGCAGAGCATGCCAATGTTAAATAGGCCAACATATGAATGAATACCGAAGGCGGTTACATGGACAGAAGGCGACATTGGTCGAGAAAAGATGGGCCTATTCTCTTCCTCAAGTAAGACGCTCTGCAACCACGGAGGCACGTGATTGACCACCTCAGCAAAACAAATGCAATTTTGCAGCGTAGCTGTGCCATCACAACAGCGTACTGGAGGTCACTATGCTTGTTAACCACCAGCTGAACAATGTTCTTCAATGCACGAGAGCACTCCGTGCCACATACGCCGTTTGTCGAGAATACGAGCGGAGTGAATGACCCCCTCTCGACATCGACAACACGCTGAAGATAGGCCCGCTTCTTCTGATGTTCATTCCGGGAAATCTGTGCAAGGACTTCCTGTCGCGACAGCAAAGACGCCGAGGGGTGAGTAACCCTCACATCAAAGAATGCATCTTGCTGTGGCGACCAAAAGCCCCTTGCACGGATATCCAATCGAGCCTCTGCAGCACGATTAGCGGTAGCGCCGTGAAGTTGTTCACCATCCAACGGCAAAAGCGGTGGCTCTGTCTGAACATCCGGGATGGCAGAAGTCATCACCTCCACCAGCACATCACGAAGCTCATTGTGTCGCAGACTTGGGTAGCCTCCTGTAGGGCATGTCAATGCATGGTCGACAGACATGTCTCTACCACACACACAAGTTGGTGGGAGGCCATCAATACCCCAGCCATAGCGCAGGGCGAGACCATCCCGGAAACATGCTTTATTTAGCGCAAAGCCGTTCACAGCCAGAGGCTCAGCCGTTAGCCAACTGGACACGCCAGCATCAGCAGCAATCTCCAACAGCACTCGCTGACATGGGCTGAGCTCAGGACGCAAAGCAACCTGAGCCTCCTTAGCCGCAGTAGCCATTCTCCGACGTTCGGCATTTCGCAACGCTATTACCTCCGCCTGCAAATCAGCCGGAGCAATGTCAGCATCAGGGCGACGAAGCAAATCAATCACCGGCCGTGCCGAGGCCATACTGGAGGTCCACTGATGCACTGCATGAGGCCCAATGGCAGGAATTGAGAGACCACCGGACTTAACAGGCAAGCCGATGAGACTCCGCTCATTGGCGGACATGTTCTTCCGACCAGTGATTGCTGGTATCAAACTGTTGTCAATCACATTATCTAGCCTGCCGAAAGCATCCGGCTCCGGCAAGCCATGTGAGCACATATGATAGCGCCAGCGCGACCTCAATCCACGGGAGAAAACAGAATATGCAGCATGTGGCTGGGTTTCCGCCAGAGTGGAGAGAGTACCGACCTCCCTGCACCATACGGAAACATGACGACACAGACTCTCCTGTACAAATTCCTCCTCACCAATGGCCCCGCCAAGATAACGAACACCATTGGTCAGCACATGTATACCCGTTGGGTCGAACAGCTCTCGGGCTTCTGACTCCAGGGCGGGTTTCACCAGCAGAACTGTCTTGGCTGCATTAGGGTAATATCCATACTTCGGGCCAATCTCCTCGATTGATTTCCAAAACGAATGCACGGCCGCCAATCTGCCACCAGACTCGCCATCATCCGCGTACCAGCATTGGTTCACATCAGGGTGCTGTTCACGGAGTTTACAAATCATAGGAGCCACCGCAAGAGCAAACATGGCCATGGCCAGAGGGTCTCCCTGACAAGTTCCCTCGCGCGAGTACAATACTACGCCACCAGGAAGAAATAGTGGAATATCCGCACCATATGTATTACGACAAATTTTTTCCATCGGTGGACACACACGTGCGATATTATGCAAGGCGGCCTTCCTGTTGATTGCGTTAAAGGCATTAGATGCATCGATGAGTAAGATTGCATCAGTGTCATCGGCGAGATATTGTTCCTGGACGGCACGCACAGCCGCCTCACAAGCCGCCGGCACACCAACACACAGCTGATGAGGGATCACGGCTGTCGCGATATCAGACGATATACACTGCAACACAGCCTTAGCGATGATCCGGCGAGCGACTTCCCCCACCGCGATCGGGCGCACACCTGGTCTCTTGTCCAATGCCACGAGCCGTGCCGCAACAAAAGCCGACAGAGAAGCAGGGTCTATATCCGTCGTGCATATCCTCTTGGCAGCAGCAGCAAGAGCGGCAGCCAAATTTGAAGAAGCACCTTTAAAGGCCGAGAGCATACGCTGCCAGGCCTGCACGTCCAGGCCAGACGGACCACCGGATCCCTTCATACTGCCAGCCACCCTCTTAATGCCTGCTGCTGAAATACCTTCAAATATTATGTCATTGACCGGTGCTGCATCATTCTCCAACAAAACGGTTTCAGGTGGCTCCACAGGAGTCGGGTGCTTATCGCGAAGTACATCCAGTAGTAGTAGTAGTAGTAGTAGTAGTAGTAGTAGTAGTAGTAGTAGTAGTAGTAGTAGTAGTAGTAGTAGTAGTAGTAGTAGTAGTAGTAGTAGTAGTAGTAGTAGTAGTAGTAGTAGTAGTAGTAGTAGTAGTAGTAGTAGTAGTAGTAGTAGTAGTAGTAGTAGTAGTAGTAGTAGTAGTAGTAGTAGTAGTAGTAGTAGTAGTAGTAGTAGTAGTAGTAGTAGTAGTAGTAGTAGTAGTAGTAGTAGTAGTAGTAGTAGTAGTAGTAGTAGTAGTAGTAGTAGTAGTAGTAGTAGTAGTAGTAGTAGTAGTAGTAGTAGTAGTAGTAGTAGTAGTAGTAGTAGTAGTAGTAGTAGTAGTAGTAGTAGTAGTAGTAGTAGTAGTAGTAGTAGTAGTAGTAGTAGTAGTAGTAGTAGTAGTAGTAGTAGTAGTAGTAGTAGTAGTAGTAGTAGTAGTAGTAGTAGTAGTAGTAGTAGTAGTAGTAGTAGTAGTAGTAGTAGTAGTAGTAGTAGTAGTAGTAGTAGTAGTAGTAGTAGTAGTAGTAGTAGTAGTAGTAGTAGTAGTAGTAGTAGTAGTAGTAGTAGTAGTAGTAGTAGTAGTAGTAGTAGTAGTAGTAGTAGTAGTAGTAGTAGTAGTAGTAGTAGTAGTAGTAGTAGTAGTAGTAGTAGTAGTAGTAGTAGTAGTAGTAGTAGTAGTAGTAGTAGTAGTAGTAGTAGTAGTAGTAGTAGTAGTAGTAGTAGTAGTAGTAGTAGTAGTAGTAGTAGTAGTAGTAGTAGTAGTAGTAGTAGTAGTAGTAGTAGTAGTAGTAGTAGTAGTAGTAGTAGTAGTAGTAGTAGTAGTAGTAGTAGTAGTAGTAGTAGTAGTAGTAGTAGTAGTAGTAGTAGTAGTAGTAGTAGTAGTAGTAGTAGTAGTAGTAGTAGTAGTAGTAGTAGTAGTAGTAGTAGTAGTAGTAGTAGTAGTAGTAGTAGTAGTAGTAGTAGTAGTAGTAGTAGTAGTAGTAGTAGTAGTAGTAGTAGTAGTAGTAGTAGTAGTAGTAGTAGTAGTAGTAGTAGTAGTAGTAGTAGTAGTAGTAGTAGTAGTAGTAGTAGTAGTAGTAGTAGTAGTAGTAGTAGTAGTAGTAGTGCCTTTGCATGCCCGTAGGCATTGTTATTAGGTGATGATTTCGTGTGAAGCTTTTGAGTTCAAAGTTTTATATTTCAATTGAGTGTTCTATTTGATTCCGAAATTGGGTTATCTTTTTGCTTTGACTCTTACTTCATGGTGTTGTGAATAAAACCGTTCTCAAGTAGTAGTAGTAGTAGTAGTAGTAGTAGTAGTAGTAGTAGTAGTAGTAGTAGTAGTAGTAGTAGTAGTAGTAGTAGTAGTAGTAGTAGTAGTAGTAGTAGTAGTAGTAGTAGTAGTAGTAGTAGTAGTAGTAGTAGTAGTAGTAGTAGTAGTAGTAGTAGTAGTAGTAGTAGTAGTAGTAGTAGTAGTAGTAGTAGTAGTAGTAGTAGTAGTAGTAGTAGTAGTAGTAGTAGTAGTAGTAGTAGTAGTAGTAGTAGTAGTAGTAGTAGTAGTACACAACTGTAGTTACTTTGTTCCCACCAGGGAGTAGTACAATACCGTATTGTACTACTCCCTGGTTACATCTGCCTTGAGTTTCTTTGGAAGTAACATTTTGGATTGGACTTTTTCAAATTTTCATTTTGATTTCATCGTCGAGTTTCATCCCTTGTGGTTTTGGTGTTCTTCCTTCTTTCCATGTCGTATTGTTTGAATAAACCCGTTTTGAGAACTTTTGACTGGTAGTGGTTACAAGTGGTACCTACAAGTCCTACATCATGTGCAATATTAACATTGTACATGGACCTCTTGACGCAATCGTTCCACATACGGAAGGATACAGTTTCACACATGCCATCCATACAGCTAACTGCTTGCTCAGGATCATTGAATTCATTCGATTGTCACCAGGGTTTATGCGACTCCCTGATTGTCACTGATGTCAGCAAAATGCTGAATTATGTCACCTCGGAACTCGAGTAGGGTTACAGTCGTTACATCAATCGTGTTTTCTCGCTGACCAGCGACCGTGCTGCACATGTATCTGTGAAATCGGAATGGCTGAGTTGCGCGAAGTCTCGACCCACCTCATCACCTCTTCACTTCTTGATCTCTATGATAGTATGAAGCGTAGACTAGCGTGCCGGTGCGGTAGGTCCATGTTGTGATGCCGACGCTTTAGTTCTTTCTCCTCTGCAGATCTGGCAGCTATACTCGTGTACATGTAGTAGGCTCAAGAAAAGAGTCAAAAGTACTACAGTTTGCAGTGGTAGACAAGTACAATCATGTAACTAGTTTCACTCACACCGCCGGAAGTTAGTTAGTCAGTGTTACTGACCGAGCTAGAGAACGGATCTGGGAGAACTACAGCGGGGACACAGCGCCAACGGTCGTCACGGTCACAGCTAGCTAGCTACGGCTACTGGCGTCCAGCTCGCCAAGGACCAGTCACCAGGTCTCACTCGATTGCTTCCAGAGAGATACTTCCTGCGAGATCCGAAACAGTTTCCTGCATGGTTACATGCGTGAGCGGTGCAGTTGTTTGACTATAAATAAATAATTATTATTAGTCGTGGTCACCGGTAGCTCTCTGCGTCCGAACTGGCGATTCTTGCTTTCCTCGGGGGAGACAGCAGTGCTGAGGTCGTTCAGGTGCCTTCTATCCTCGCGTCCAAGCACCACTTGACCTCGGAAACCGAGGAGTGCAGAGTGCATTTGGGCCGAGTAAGGAAAGTCAAGCCAGTGGCCGTCCGGAGGTGAGTCGTGGTGCCGTGGCATTTTGACTTACACGACGTGACGTCCGTTCTGCAAGCGCAACAGAGCCCTTGGGCTTAGGTAGGAGACACGAATTTCGAAGTATAATAAACTATTTGCTAGATATTTTGCTTCTGCATCGAAGTTCGTCATGATTGTCGATCACCAGTACGAAATGCTGTCAGAGCATGGTCTGCAATAGCGGACATGCAAAGCTCTGAAGCCGTAAAATCTTACCTTGCCTCAAACCAAGGGGTGATTGCATTGCAAGGAGTGGGTAGCACTAATCGGAGAATCCTGGCAGAAAATGTATACAGGTACTAGGTACTGATGGGATGCACACGACATGGTTGGTGTCAATTCCAGATTGGCAGGAAGAAAAGTGCTCAGTCGCCAAGTTTAGTTCGGGGGAGAAGAGAGCTGGAATTTTCCAGCTATTATTGTAATGTCCAGGATGATACATGCTGATGTAGAGGATTCACTCAGCCTTTGCTAGCGTGTGCATATGGTGTACTAGTAATCCAGTTTATTTTGTACTGTTTTGGCATTGCTCAAATGCAAATGCATGGGATTGTTCTTCCAAAATTCTGCTACATGTACTACAGTAGTCACTGAGCAACAATTCATTTTAAGTACAAATTTTCGTTGCACAATGGGTTGGTCAAAGACCACCCAGCCAGGCAGGCACAGTGGGTTGGTCAAAGACCATGATTGAGATACGAGGGGTACCTGGTTCAAGTCCTGCCTGGGAGCGTTTTTTCCAGTCGTGCTGGTACCCACAGTCAACTGGGAACTTGTGGCCAGGCACAAGGGGTACATGGATGCAGCTAATGGGGTTTCTCGGCACTTGTGCCAGTGGTTGTGAGACTTATCCACTCACCCCCACCGTTAGGCGCTGCATCTGCCGCTAGGGTTTACCGGGTGTTAGCGGCCGTCGTGAGTTCCCTTCGGGAACGGACACGATAATTTACTTACTTACAGTACCCCAAGACTCGAGTATGTACATGTATATATATATATATGTATGTACTATTTCTTTATTTGAATTTGCAAGCACACACAGGCTATAAGCTCAAGTTACATGGAAGCGAATGAAAGAATGGATTGAATGCAATGCAAAGTCTGCACATGAGGGCGGGCCACACTGCCGCATAGCCATCAACTGGAGTACCACCTGGGGGCCATTGCATCATTGTTGATCTCCTATGGTTCCCAGCTTCCAAATGCGACGTTCTTAGAGATGGTTTAGAAGGTTTTAGGTGTGAAGCGTCGCGTACACAGGCTCACAGCCGTTGAACCTACAGCATTACGTGTGAAATCCGCACATAATCATTGACCCCAGGCAATTATTTAAAATCCTATGAGCTTGAGCGTCGGTTCACTACGTAATGAAGCTGGGCCGCATATCGCCGGGCACAGTACCCGAGATCAGAGTTGCATGCGACTCTTGGGCTTATGTACTCTTGATTGTGCTGTGGATTACTCGCATCTCCCTGAGACTCACTGGATTGTTCCTACTCTGCACTCTCACCTACGAAACTCTTTTAGGATTTCATTCCCATCACTTGGATCCGGCTTTCCCTTTGCATCACTTCCAGCAACCGGCTTTTACTACAGTCTCCCAATGTCGTTACCACACTACGTTCCGAACCCCATGGCGAGGGTTCCAGCATCAATGAAACCGCTATCGCCACTATCCCTTCAGACCAAGGAGACGGAAGATGACTCGTGTGGACACTATCCAGACATCTTCGTTGATGGTAAGTCGTCAAGTTGTGTGTGACTTCAAGTGCGTATCCCGTATACCACTAGGCCTGAAGATTGTGTTGCTATTCCAGGGCCGGCGCCACTGGTACGCCCAAAAAGTCGGTCCACGTGGAACGTCCAAAACCGTGGAGAAAAAGTCCCGATGTATGATTTTGTACAGGGAGTCGCCCAGAGTGCAGAATTTGCCGTCTAAATTCCAAACAAATTCTGCGGGAGGACCCCCAGACCCCCCCCTTAAAGATAGCCCTTCGGCCGCTCCGCTCTGCGGAAGGCGCCTCCGGCCCTGTATTCACGAGTTGTTGTTATGCCTGAGATCGTTATTTACGAAGTTGGCTGCAGATACACCACTACACTGTTTTTTTTTGTTTGCGCGTTCCTGTGTATGCTCGTGTGTTTGCTTCCTCTCCAGTAGATCTTTGCTCACCCGAGAGTGGAGACACATCCAGGTACCGTCCCCAGAGCTGTGCTGACTTTCGTTATGCATGACTCACTGTTCTTAAGTCACGGTCTATTTCTGTACTCGTGACCGTTGTAATTGGCTATAGTTCTATCACTGGGCCGCATGTCTTCATGAAGATCAGTGTGTGTGTGTGTGTGTGTGTGTGTGTGTGTGTGTGTGTGTGTGTGTGTGTGTGTGTGTGTGTGTGTGTGTGTGTGTGTGTGTGTGTGTGTGAGTGTGTGTGTACCATTGGGTGGTTGCTGAAGATATTAGGCTTTGTTGGAACAGTCAGTTTACCAGGCAGGCAAGGACTTGATTGCTTGCTGCCCAGTTTGCTTCTGAGCACCTTCAGTATTTTCTGGCAAAAGCGAGTCACGTTTCCTCACCTTTCCTCACTGCGATTAGGGACTGATTGTGATTGTGCATGTCTCAGGCACCTAACGGACACTATCACTGCCTTTTTATAGTGAGATCAATGGCCGTAATAGTATGTTTTAACACTAAAATTTGCTAGGGAACACATTATCCGTAATTCGGAAACGAACTCAGATCACGCGTGATGCTGTCATACACCTTGACATGATGGCATATATCCTTGGACGTGATTACCAGTCCTAGCCCCCCCCCCCCCCCCACACACACACACAGACACAGACAGGCTGACGTCATGGCCCTTCGTTTTTTTGGAAATTCCCTTGCGCTTAGCTCTGGTCTGGAGGAGTTTGTTGCATCCTATGGACTGGGCACGTTTCAGATTGATGAACCAACAAGAAGAGGAGGTGAGCTTGTAATGCTTTCCCATGGTCTTTACGTACAAGTACTTGTATCTAACCGTGACTGTCTGTACCTAGGTGATGGCAGCCGCTGCTGAAGGTGATTTTCAATTTTGCACGCTACCATATGTCAGTGATGCAAATGAATAACATGCCAGTACTAGTAGCATTCGTATTGAGAAAAAGAATCACCGAGGAGGCAGCAACTTGCAGTTTTTTTTGTCATGTTGTCGCACTTCTCATTCCATGCACATTCAAGAACACTGGCTGGTGCGTAAGGCACCCACTGAGCTGGTCGAAACATAGAAAATTGCACGTTAAACTAGGATTTTTCATTGCACTTCCACCGTTTGGTGATTTTCTTACTAGTAGGGTTTTGAAAGCCGAAAATGTCTTCCCAATGACAACGGTAAAAGTTGTTCCTGTTACCTCGTGCTAGCCATCCTTGTGCCTACATTCCTCTCCGAGTCTCGCTTTCTTTTGGCATAATGTGTTTATCTATTTTGAATGTCATTTCCTCCGTTCTCCTCTTCTTCTTTCAGCTCTTCTTAGTGTTGGCGAGCTAGCGCTGAGTGTGCAGTTCGGTGAGCACTCGGATGATCAGATGGTCATCATCATCGGTATCCACAGTGCTGAGAACTTCCCTGCATACCATGGACTGACGCAGTTCAGTCGACAGCACACCAGTAAGTGGATACTGAGCTTCTTGCAGGGCACAGATATGCGCCCTGTATTTATTATAATATTATTTTATTGGAGTGCACATACCTATGGAAAGAGGAGAACCGAACAAAACCAAGGCAAGACAACAGTCGATGCATAGGGCGCTGCATGAGCTGTGCTAGTGAGGCGCGGTGTATTTCCCGGCCAATTTTCTCCGGATCAACGTGCACAGCATGCATCCTGTATTTGCAGATGGTCTCTTATGGACTATCAGAATTATCAAGGCGGACTCAGGGTGCAGCACGATGTATTTCCCCAAGCCATCGTGAACTATGCAGCTACAGAATACAGCCATGTAGCTAGACACAGCTGGAATCTAGAGTAATTTTAGGGTTCACAGATTGGCATGTTAGCGTCGCCAGCTACATCATGCACGTGACAGGCGCGTGCATATACTGTACCATACAATCGGTCAGTGCTCAAATCGCATTTTCCCATCAATATCACTCACTTTCAACTCTACGGGCTTCATTACGGTTGGCTCAAACTGCCTGAATTTTTGAATCCACACGCACGAAAGACGTTCCAAGACTTCCCAGGGCCTGCTCTAGACATTCAACACAGCCCGGTCAGAGTGTACCTGGCGCATGCAGGCCAGCCGGGTCAAGCCGGGTCAGATCATCCGGCAGAAAAACAACCAAAAAGCCTGCTCAAAACTTGCAACTGTGTCAAAAGCTATAGCCAAAGTTACGCTTTTGACTGCCTGCCCCATCGACTTTCAATGTCCTGACTTCCTGCTCGCCGCTGGCCAGATCGCGCTCGAACCAGTTGACCCAAGCCGAGTTTCTGTCGCTTGTAGACTGTAGTGTGTACGGTTGCGCTAGCTTTGCAACAGATGGGTCCGCGAGTCGTTAAATACCGGTATTTTAGGAATCCATTGTCAGTTTGAGACATTTTTCAGCCGGGTCAGACTGGACCGGGTGTTATCTGTTCAGCCAGGTCGTGCAGTTCCCCAGCCGGGCGCGTGACCCGGCTGACCCGGTTCTCCAACAAGCCCTGCTTCCACCGTTCTTTTTTTCAAACGAGTTCCGGGTTTTCCAGTAACTTTGGCCAAAGTTCGGCTAAAAAAACAGGGGGAGCCGTTGCGTTTCCGTAAAATATTGAACGGTAAAAGGATAGCCAAGGTCGAGAGCAAAACAACAAGCCATTATTTGTCAAAATCGAACAAGAAACGGCTCAGCGCATCTATTTTCCGTGCGCGTACTTTGGCTGACAAGGTGTGCAGAATTTCTGAAGAAGAAGAATAACAAGAGCAGCAGCGCTCGGAACAGCCGTGCTGGATACTTCCAATCCCGACACGTTGGAGCGTGAAACGACCATGACATTTATTTTTCTTTGTATACCCTTCATATCTTGACGTGCCCTTGCTCAGTTTCGGCCTCTTTACAGGAAGAATATTTTCTTCCTTGGCATCAGCCATTTCGGCCAAACAGTAAGAAGAGCAACAGATCGAGATTTGCAGGGCAAACAAAGGACGCGTGCAGCTACATCTAGTCAGGTTCGATGCAGCTGCGCTTTGCCAGAACCTCAGCAGACAAGAAAAGGTGACAGAGTGTCTCAGATGGAACTGGATCTTTCGCCAAGACCGCCACTGCCGCCATTATCAAGTCCAGGTCAGTCAGAAAAACCGAAGCAAAAATGCAAAGCCCGGGTGAAGTGAAGGAAAAATTCAAAAAGTACGCTCTCCGGCTAGACTTCGAGTCGATATTTTTTTACTTCGACAGGCGCTGTCGCGGCCTGTCGCGCGCCTCCATAATCCAAAATGGAGGCGCACGTGACGGATGCTTTTAGTGGCAAGCCGTGAACCCTAAATTTGTATATGTAGATGCTTCAGTAAAATACACCGATGGTAGTCTGAATCTTTATCAGATGTGCCAGTGCTGTTAACCCTTTCAGCACGCATCACGTATATGTACGTGATGATACATATAACTGGCCCACGGATCACGTATATATACGTGATGCGTACAGTGAAAATGAACGTACTCCCGAGACATCCGTGGTCGACGGATCTTATCCCTACGTGGACCAGTGACGTGCTGGATGAACGTCGACTGTTCTACGATAGTACTGACGGGCGCACGTGTGCCGCTATGCACGCGTACTAGTACATAGATGTCGCGTGCGAACATGCATTCCGCAGCATGCATTCCGCAGAAAAAATTGTTAGTGAAACTTTTGGAAAATCACGAAAATCACTGGTTTTGGCTCCGCGGGTCAGTTACACACCCTGGCCGTGCTGAAAGGGTTAACTTCCCTGTTGACTTCAAGGTCATGCAATCTGTTTGGGATGGCTCTTTCAGTCACTGTATGCTGCGGGATATCACAGGAATACCTTTCCTTGTACGACCAGCTACTGTATCTGTGTGTTTGTTTGCGTAATCTGTGTTTTCTTTGCAGAAGTTCACTTGGAGATGAGCATATCTTTTGAGAAAGCGTTGCAGCCGGTTCGCTTGATGTCTCACGCTGTGCCAGCCAGCACGTCGATGAAGTTTGATGAGAATCTCGTCGCCATCATGGGCAATGCCATGTTTCAGCGGCGGCGCACTTTACAGGCTAGTTCTCTCTCCCCCCCCCCTCTCTCTCTCTCTCTCTCTATCTATCTCTCTCTCTATTATCTCTCTCTCTCTCTATTATCTCTCTCTCTCTCTATCTCTCTCTCTCTATATATTATCTCTCTCTCTCTCTCTCTCTCTCTCTCTCTCTCTCTCTCTCTCTCTCTCTCTCTCTCTCTCTCTCTCTCTCTCTCTCTCTCTCTCTCTCTCTCTCTCTCTCTGTGTCTCTGTGTCTGTGTCTCTGTCTCTGTCTCTCTCTCTCCCTCTCCCTCTCCCTCTGTCCCCCTCTCAGTCTGCATCTGAGGGTCCACTAGCACTGCATCACTGTTGGCCTTCTCTGGCATGGGCATTGTTATGTTTAGTTTGCCTGTTTCACTTGTAGTTTTACTGGTTTGTGTGATCAACTTGGCAATGTGTAGTGGACTTTTATTGGATGAGAGGCTGGTGGTGAGATGGACGTACGGCGCAAATCATCCAGGCAGACAGAATTATGTCTAAATGAATCTATTACTCGTATTGTGACAAAATTCTTTTCGCATCGTGTGAAGGGGCTCTCGCGAAATGCGATGCACAATGCACGGCACGTTGCAGAAAGATCTTGCACTGCACACAAGTCCAGAGCTGCACGCAAGCCGGAGTTCTTTAGTCACACACGTGCCTGCCATGCAGAGAAGGATGCGCCTCGCTCGTCTCTCATCGCAGAACCTAAGCGTATCACAACCTCTCACGATGCGGCCATGATGGAGCTGCGACAACCAGTGGTGCCAAATCATAGTTTGCCGAAAACCTGTCGATATGAACGCGAATTGCTCATCACGTCGCAGAAGTGATATTGTGCATCATGCTTAGCCTCCCTTGGCTGACCTATGCATGCCGTATTGGTTCTTGTGTTTGCCTTTTCTCTTCAGATCTCGGTCGTTGAGAAGAAGTTCACTGGCAAGTCGGTGCTGGGTACTGTGGACATCGATGTCAGCCGCCTCAGCGCCGGACATCGCATCAACACTAACAATTACTCTGTATTCAATCATCGTGGCAGTCTCAAGTTGTCCGTGCCGCCTGCGAGTGCCAAAGGCAGCCTGAGTGCCAGCGTGGGTGCCCAGTCATCACCCGGTAGCCTGCAGCACCTGAGCAAGAAGACCAGAAAGGAGCGAAACAAGTCACGGGGCTCCAGTGGCTCCTTGGTGTAGTACACCATAACGATCAAGTCATTCCTGCCGCGTGGAATTGCTCAAGCATACAACAGGCCGCTGAACGTCAGCAATGTACATAGATATTGAGTCAGCTGAGCCATAACAGCCGCAGCATAGGTAGAGTGAAGTGGACTTCCAGTGTGGCTGTGAGTGCGCGACCTGCACTGATTGGCAAGCACTAAATCAGCCGGGCTGGCCTGCTGGATGCTTGCCTGGACCTGCATGCACTTGCACCAATGACGAGATTGTGCACCCGTGTCGGCACGGAACTGAAAGGCTGTGGTTGAGCATGTTGCACTTGATTGCATGCCAGTAGCCTTCGTGTTGCCTACAGATCACAACGTGCGTATTGCAGCAACACACCATGATATGCCAGTTTGGCAAGTTTACCTAGTTTGATTCTGTAGTACATCGTGTACATGTACGTAATGCTGTGACTTGTTATTATGTTGAGAAGGTCTTTTGCATTGTCGCACTGCATGCTGTTGATTAGAAGTCATGACATTCAGTTCACCCAGCTACGCAGCAGAGTACACTTGAATAATTTGTCTGGAGTACATGTATTCTCAATCCTAATGTATCCGGCAGTACTGATCATGTCGGTCAGTTAGTTGCGATCGCGGATCAGTGCTGCATTCAACATCTTTACAACATAGTTCACGCTCTTTAAATTAAGTTAGGTACATGTACTCATGGCATTCAACCCCCGAAATGCTCCGCTGTTTTGCCTTTTTTCATTTGTTTGATGTGACCTCTCGTCATGAGCACACTACCCCCCCCCCCCCCCGGCATTTTCAGTGCTGCAAAATGGCTTTATTCCAAAACCGGTAATGCTGCTACAAACGCCTGCCAAAAGAGTGCTACAGGTCTCAGAATTCGACAGACACAGCCTGAGCTCTAGCGGCTAGATGTACATCGGTAGAGTACTACTAGCCAAAGGTCAGTGTTTCCGAACAAAGGTGACCTCCACCTTTCACAGCATAGTTCCATCATTGGCATGGGCCCTGGTTCTTCTTACTATTTCTTGCCATTTGTACACATACGTGCACATGTTGGTGGTTGACAGCATGTACCGAGGTGGAGGACGCTGTTCGGAAACAGTGACCCGCTTTCTACAACCATCCACGGTTGGTAGAGCCCCGGTCGCCGGGGTTGCGACCATCTGAACCAACCGGGGCTCTACCAACCGTGGATGGTTGTAGAAAGGTCAGTGTTTCCGAATACGGTGACCTCCATGATCCACGTCCTTGACACTTCAGTAAAAAATGTTACATGCTGTCAGCCAACATAATCATTGTGACATTGAGTGACATGTATTATTGTTTGAACAATCAAGGTACCCCCAGGGCCAGGTCCCCCACATGCACAGCTGTACATGTACGTACCCGGTGTATCAGCACACAGTGAGTGAATGAGGGAAAAAAACTGTTCATACCTTCAATTTTTTTTAAATTTTTTTCGTGCTGTACATTGGAAAGGCTTCCTGTCTGAAGCCTTTCCATACTGGTACTCGATGTTCCAGTTTTGTGACACGAGAATGGCACGAGAATTAGTGTACCGCTGAGTGTACCGCTATACACGTGGTCGACACGTAGTCGACACGTTGTTGATACTTTTTTGACACGTGACCCCGTCAACGGTCTGCTTTGTGCCAATGCCACTCGGTAAACGCCGATGTCGCGTACGACAAAGACGACTATCCCGTACGCGAAATAGTTGAGAACTGCATGCATGACGTGGACCTGACGGCAAGGACAACTGCGAGGAGGCCCCTTTCGGTACCCCTGACGGGAAGGAGAACTACAGAAGTCGACGAAGTCGAACGAGGAGGCCCCTTTTCCGTACCCCATACTGCAAAGTGCCATTGATGGATACCTTTTGCACCTGGAACGACCCCTTAAACGCTATCGCGGCGACTATCCCGTACGCGAAATAGTTGAGAACTGCTGACGTGGACCTTTTGCACCTGGAACGGCCCCGTAAACGCTGTCGTGTCGGCGGAGTGAATGTGCAGGGCGAAAAGAATTGCTGCAAAGACGTCCCCTCTAGGCCTTTGGAGACATCGTCGGCGGACTGAATGCGCAGGGCGAAAAGAATTGCTGCAAAGACGTCCGCTCTAGGCCTTTGGAGACATCGTGGGAACTCCTTCCGGTACTATACAAACTGCTGACGTGGCCGTGGAGACATGGTGGGACTTCATGTACATGGATACATGGTGGGAATTCCTTCCGGCACCCCCATACCGCAAAGCCAACGGTGGGGAAGGAGAAGTGCAGACGTGCAGGAAGACGAACGAGGAGGAACCAGGACGAGCGAGCAATGGCAGGACTAGCTGGACCGTAAGTAATAGCTGAATTGTGAATGACAACTTGACATCCATGCGGCACTCGCCACTTGCCACTGCATATTTCTTGTCCACTAACAATGTCTCTCCTCTGCCCCCTGTGTGTCCACAGCCCTGTTGCTGAATTGGCCCGATGAATCGAATGTCTTCCGCAACTGGAACGGCCCAGTAAACGCTGTCGCGTCGGCGACTGAATGCGCAGGAGGGAAAATATTGCTGCGAAGACGTCTCCTCTAGACCACGGTAAGGCAACCCATTGATATGTTGCCAGTTACCTTCTACTAACACGTTATCAGGTCAAAAAAAATTAATGGTCTACAGTCGTGTCGGAAGGGTACGGTGGGACTGTAGACCTGTTACCTTCTAACACGTTATCACTATATCAGGTCGAGAGCGCATTGTAGTCACTCTCTCTATTCCTGTACTTCATTACGTTTCAGGTGTACGTATAACTTTTCCAAAAAAATTAAAGGGGAAGTTAAGGCAAAAATTAAAATTTCACCAGTTGTAGTCTTCGGGGTGCTGAGTCGAATGGTCTTGGTCCGAGGAAGCTGAGACGCTCCCTTCCTACTTGAATCCCAATCGAACTCGCGCACTTCCACCGAAACTGGGTGACTGCGCCCTACGAGATGGGGATTTGTATGCAAAATGTCACTAAAAGCGCCATTTCGTTCTTATAAAAGCACGGATGACCGCGATTGGCCCATATGTTGTAGTCTTTTGGACGCTGAGTCGACTGGTTTTGGTCCGAAAAGGCTGCGATGCAGCGTTCCTCCTTTATTCCCAATCGAACCTGGTTGAACAAGTGGTCACGTGCTCCTGGGTGCCCAAATCACCTGGTCACCACGCCAGCAGGTGACAACTTTCACACCAAGGTTCAACTCGAGTTCAACTCGAGTGACAGGACTGCACCCAAAAAAGGTCAAACAGGCTAGTAAGTTGTACCCTGCAGGCACGGTGACCAGGTGACTGGTGTACGCAGGAGCACGTGACCGCTTGTTCAACCATGTTCGATTGGGAATAAAGGCGGAACGCTGCATCGCAGCCTTTTCGGACCAAAACCAGTCGACTCAGCGTCCAAAAGACTACAACATATGGGCCAATCGCGGTCATCCGTGCTTTTATAAGAACGAAATGGCGCTTTTAGTGACATTTTGCATACAAATCCCCATCTCGTAGGGCGCAGTCACCCAGTTTCGGTGGAAGTGCGCGAGTTCGATTGGGATTCAAGTAGGAAGGGAGCGTCTCAGCTTCCTCGGACCAAGACCATTCGACTCAGCACCCCGAAGACTACAACTGGTGAAATTTTAATTTTTGCCTTAACTTCCCCTTTAATGGTTCACGTCTTCAGATAGAGAGCGTATTGCACCCACTGTCTAGTCTGTAGTGCATTGAGATTTTGTTGATCGCACATGAAAATGGATACACAGACAAAGCAGGCCAAGTACATGGCGAGATGTCGCCAGAAGAACGTCTTCAGATAGACAGCGTATTGCACCCACTGTCTAGTCGATTTTGTGGATCGCACATGAAATGGATACACAGACAAAGCAGGCCAAGTACATGAGAGAGTGGACGATGTGCGGATCGACACGGCCTGTGGGTACTTCATTAAAGTTACCCGTGACATAACTAGGATAAAAGTTAATCACAGCAAAGACATTGCCAAGTATGTGAGCACTTTGGACTTGACAGAAGAGTGCACGGGCGACGTTGACAAAACATACCGCGGTGACTGTCACCATCATGACAGCAGGGCACATCGCACGCAGCATCGCAGATCGTGTCGAATTGCGCATCATAATATTGCAAAATTGCTCCTGTGCATGCAAGTGGATTTCATTGCACTTCTCAGTTTGGGAAATGCTCGATTATGACAATTCTGCATAAGTTGCGAAAAACTATGGCATCTTTGGGAAAGGGCTACTCATAGCCTACCTCACGACCTTCTGCTTTCTTTCTTCATCACTTGTATCTTGCAGGTATATCATCCCGTGACGACCACATTGAAGTCTGAATTTGAAGTGTGAAGATGCTTCAGCAACCACATCGTACTTTTCCATTGCTTTCATTGTGCTTCTACTGTACATGTGTGTAACTTGTGGGGTAAACATGTGATGACATTGTATGCTGGCGACACGGTCAGATGTTGTCCATGCGTCTAACGTAAACCTGCATGTTATGCATTGAAAAGGATTTGCCACTTGCGATCCTGGGACGAGTATCAGGTCAGCTTTGTCCTGTGTGGGCTGTATCAGATTGCTGTTCACTTCTCTATCTGTTGGATGTGTGACTTTCTGCAAGTTTCTGGTGTATGATGGCCACTTCCTTGCTTGTCACTTTGTATGATATTACATTCTGTATTCGCTGCTTCCATGGCGTGGTCTGCAAACTGCAATCCTTGGGCAAATGTCATGTTTGCTATGTTGTGCTTTGGCCGTCAGCTTGTCTACATGCTGTAGTTGCATTATTTTTGTTTCACAACTGACTTCCTCAAGTACGGTGGCCACTGCTTTGCATGGCATTATAATTTATATGAAGAACTTAGTTTCCTGTTTGTGTCGTGTGCATGTGCGTGGCCACGTGTGTGTGCCGTGTGCATACGCATGTTTGTGTATCTGTGTGCGGGGTAGCGAGGCGGGGAGGGCTGGTATGTATCAGTGTGTTATTGCAATCTCATGGCTACATACAGTACATCGCGCGCGTGGTCATCATGTTTACCTTTGGGGTTGGGGTGGGGAGGGAACGGAAAAAGAACTGAAATTATCCATATAAAAACCACTCTGTGAGCGGTTCTGAAAAACCTTTACTGGTACTGCCCCGTCGTAAAAGTAAGAAATTAGAACTGGCCCATTGTCCCCCCAAATGCGAACTGATCCACCTAAATCGCGAATGACGGGACCCGAACGCACCAGTAGCACGAGGTTCCTACCTGTGAATGCAGATGGGGACGTTGGTCCGGACTATAGGCCATGTACTGACCGTCTGTACTAGCGGTAGGTGGTGTTACCCTATGAGAATTGCTGTCCTGTGCCCTCCCGACCTCGTGCTACTGGTGCGTTCGGGTCCCGTCATTCGCGATTTAGGTGGATCAGTTCGCATTTGGGGGGACAATGGGCCAGTTCTAATTTCTTACTTTTACGACGGGGCAGTACCAGTAAAGGTTTTTCAGAACCGCTCACAGAGTGGTTTTTATATGGATAATTGTACTATACTGCTTTTTGTTGTACGATCGCCCCAGCCTGCACCAGTTGTATTTTCACTTCGAACTTTTCTTTCACAAACTTTACTTGAGAAGGAAGAAGGAAGAGCAGCGGTTGTATAACATGTAGTATGGCCCTCTTGAAGGTCGGCGTACTAACTGGTAAGTTGAACACGAAAAGCACTGTGCATGTGCTCAGCCATTCCTTTGAAACGAGTTCCTTGAAACTACCAAGAATACCGTAGCTGCGATCTCAAGGACATGAGTTTGTGTACACATTATGCCTATCTCTGCAGTCAGTGACAGATGTTCCCGTGGCGAAGCGGAGGACACGAGCGGGCCGAATCTAGTCAAGCTGATTCGCGAGGAGTTTGAAGAGTATGTTCATTTTTCAGTACCAATACAAACGTGCATGGCGAATCATGAATTTGAATAATGCTTGTCATCAATAATTATTACTAATAATTATTAAAATTAAACATTAACCCTCACACTCCCCCCCCCCACACACACACACACACACAGCCACAGAAGAGATGAGCCAGTGGGGTGTCGCAAGCTTATATTGAACGTGAGCACGACATGATCATTGTGATCAAGGTGACGTTTAACATAGTTCGCGTGAAATGATCGGACTGGGCCGTCTAAGGCCGCCCATCTGAAACATAGTATGATAGGAACAAATAACGCCAACTATCGGCTATGAAAGAGCGTTTGAAAGACAACTCATGGGGTCATGTAACAATCATAAAGGCTGGGTGTACGAGTACATTGCTATGGCAACTGCATGACCACTAAGTACTCGGTAGTACCCACAAGTATATTAATTGTATTTTCTGCGGCAGCCGATGGATGTGCACCATGCGGATTTCGTGCCCATCGGCCGAGCCCGTGCCTCCAAGAAAAGGGGGCGTGCGGTGCTTGCGACCCGTTGCTCAGTAACGCTGTGGCATGCCTGCAGGCCTGCGAACATACGTGCGGTAAGCTCTGCTGGACCACCGCCCGACTGCCATCAAGGCATACTCCGGGGCACCTTGATTCGCCATGTGCGTTGCGCCACCTGCACGGAGGGAGTGGCTACTGTAGCTGGGGCCCAGAACCCTGCGCAACACTACGTTGATGTCATTGGGCGTGAGCCATCGTCCATTGCCAAACTTGAAGGGAGGTTGTTCGTCACTACCCCATGCGCATGATCTGACGTATGCCTCGAGGGCCAGGACGGGGCATATTTGCGGGTCTGCATGGCGATGCAGCACAACCTTGCCACCGCTTGTCAGCTGCGATGTCTTCGTGCGTTGAAGCCGTAAGCTGGCTGTGGCCTGAGAGAGCTTGAGGTGAGCGCGCCTGAGAGTTTTCAGGGTACCCGGCACTGCTGGCGTGTACTCGCTAACTCGCAGCAGGCCATGGAATGCTGTCGTCAGCGCGGCCCATAGCATGAGCGTGTCGCCAGGGCTATATGCGGAACGCTGCAGGAAAAGATGTAGTGCCTTGAGTTGTACGGCGGTGATAGCCTGTCTCCGAGGCTGGGTAGTTGCGTGCCGGGGAGCGATGCGCGTTCTCTCTCCAGGCCTTTCACCAGAGCGGTGAGCCGGCTGGATGCAAGGACTTCGCCAGGTCCTCCCCTGCAGAGGAGGTTGTATCTGACTGCGGCCAGGTATACTTTGACACCTTGCTCCTTTGGCCTGCTCCGAAAGGGCTGCGTTGCGCAGGAGGCAGTCAGGTGCCCCAGCCTCTTGCAGTTGTTGCAAAAGGGGAGTGCCTGCCCGGTAAAGCAGGTTGTGTAGAGCTCAGTGTCCAGGTCAGTGACTGGGACAAATCTTTCAACAGCGCCTGCCGCGCCCTGGTGTCAAATTCGACAACTGCTGCGAAGCGGTACTTGCCGGCGGTCTGGATGATTCGGAGTTGGTGAATCATCAAGGCTTCGGCGCATAGGTGATGTTCGCCTTTGGCAATCAGGCTGAAAAGGGACCACGCCTCGATCCACGTAGCCAAGTTTTCGATTTTCCGTTTTGGAGCGACGCAGACTGCCAGTGCCCCGTCGTCATCTACCCGAAATCTCTTGGGGGTTGGTTCGGCGGCTGGTCCCGGCTTTGGGGGCAGCAGACAAGCAATATCGACATACTCGATCCGTTTTATTTTGTCGGTGGCTTCTTGGGCCACATGCGCAATACAAGCGGGGTGTGGTTATGGTGCGCGACATCTGGAAACATACCGTTTGCTCCAGTCTCGGAGTCAGCCGCGTGGTGTCCAGCCGGCGGGCTGTTGCCAAGTGCTGCTGCAACGCTGGCAGCCACGATCTCGGCGATAGAGTCCCTCTGGGCTGCTGAGAAAGCCATAATAAATGTTGAAGAATAGTTCGAAAACAAAATTGTGTGGCGAGTTCTCACAGCAAAACAGACAATTGGCAAAAATTACACCAGCCAGCAGTAGATGAGCCGTCTACGGATGCATCCGCCAGGCGAAGGGTAGCTCGTGCGGGATGTCGTACGCGAGTGCGACTCGAATGCGGAACTCGGCAAGAGCGCATGCTTGCGCAAGTCGGCTGCGGCGGCACGGCGGAGTGCGTAAGGTCACCTTAAGTCATCTGGCGGGAATATTCCCCTGCGGGGGCACCGCCCGTGGCGTGCTGGTTAACTACGGTTTGCAAACCAACATTTAAAAAAATCTTTGGATTGGGGAAATTGGTTGTTTTCTTTCAGGAATTTCTTTACACATTGGAGACGTGTACATTTATGGGCTGTATACGATGAGCGTTACCGAAGTGATGCACAAGAAAGCGACACCTATTTTTATGTAGTCATGAAAGATACCCGTGTGGACATAGAAACCCGGTGGAGTGACCGGGGGCCGGCACACTTACTGCCTTAGCGCGTACACACACACACACACACACACACACACACACACACACACACACGCTCACACACACACACACACACACACACACACACACACACACACACACATACACACACTGTAATTCATGGGCACACTGTAAAAGTGGACCAGCAGTGCTAACGGCTGCAAGGCCAGCGCCCCGTGGCCGCTTGACTTCACCCCACGGATTCAGCGGTATTTGCGATACGCACATCCGATCACACGCGTCCACTAGCCCTTGCACTGTGCATGCTCTAACCTGCGAACACAGAGCCGTGCACCAATGCACGCCGCTGACCTATTGATGGGTTGGGGTTTCTTTGAGCAGCGCTTTGGTAATAAATGATCAGCAGCCCTAAGTGCATCCTTTGAGCCAGCATGGATTAGAATTTAGCATAGCCAGCAATCGCATGTCACCACGTACATTGAAAATCAACATATTTTTTGCGAATCGACCTTTTTTTCAGCATCAGTTTTCAAGGAAGACGAAGCAAAGTCGGTCGAACGAAGCTTGGAGGAAGAGAATCATCCTCTCCACTTCACCATCACGATACTGACATAGGTACGAGACGAAACAACTAAAGAAATCCGCTTTGGTCTGCGTATTTTTCTAGTACCATCAAAATGTACAAGGAGGACTCGAAAATCAGCTACAGACGTCACTTTGTCGCTCCTTAATCCTTTTTCAACATCAGTGTGTGTGTGTGTGTGTGTGTGTGTGTGTGTCTGTGTGTCTGTGTGTGTGTCTGTGTGTACATGTGTGCGTACATGCGCGTGTGCCTGGCTGCCCGCGTACTTGTGTGTTCATGCTTTTTTTTGTCGGTGCTCTCAGTGTGGAGACAGCACCCCAGTGCGTTCCAGACAATCAAGACACGATTGCGGTAAGTAGCTGCTGCCTCAAGCCACAGTATAATACTGCCGTTCGATGATGCAGGCATTGCAGTGTGGTATTGTCCTCATTCGATGATCTTGCACACACTTAATGACTTCACCCATCTTCTGGGGGGGGGGGGGCATTTGTTGGCGGTATCCACACGCAATTAACCCCGCCAATAGCGACCCTGGCTGTAGCGACACATCAAAAGCAATGACACGTTTCTGCTGGGCAAAGCAAGCGCCTATTAATACTTTACCATATACATGATTGCGGTAACTACGGTCTGAATAATAGCATCTCGCCAAGAGGTGGACAGATGAGTGGGTCCTGTCTGTTTGTCATACAGTGCATACCTTGTTTAGCATTCCGCGCGCACAGATGGCATGCAGACAGCCATGCGCCACACGAATATAGCTAGGTTGTGTTGGGCAAGTACTGGTGACGAGGAACTGGTTGGTCTTTGCCGCAAGGTAGGCACGAGCCCGTGAGGCTGCGAGTGCCGCAGGAAGGCAGGAGCCCAGAGGCTGTGATTGCCGCAATGGAAAGGCAGGACCATAAGGCCGTAGTGCCGCAATGGAAAAGGCAAACCAGTTATGAGTGACTCGCCATACCGTCAGTACATGCCCATACACAACAATGTTGCTGGCACAGGGTTGGAGCAGTGTGTGTGTGTGTGTGTGTGTGTGTGTGTGTGTGTGTGTGTGTGTGTGTGCGTGCGTGTGCGTGTGCGTGTGTGTGTGTGTGTGTGTGTTTCTTTCCTACACAGGCAGCGCTACGTTCGATGTGTGACCGGCAAAAGATGCGCATTGTTTTGACCACCGGTGGAACTGGCTTATCCAGCCGCGACGTCACTCCAGAGGTATGTGGACTATCTGATCCTCTTCCGCTTTATAATAATCATGTACAGTCGTCCCTCTCTAATCCGGCACTTGTTAATCCGGAACCCTTGCCAACCGGCGCACTTTCTGATGAAACCGATTTTTTTCGTTCAATTCCTACATCGTAATCCGGCACTTGAATTCCGCCTCCGGCAGTGACTTTTTGAAACGATTCGCTCAAACAGCACGTAGTTTGATTTCATAATCCGGCAGTCGTAAATCGCGTACCGTACATGTGCACTCCTTGCCAGGCCAGTCTGGTCAGTGCCGCGCGCGTGGTTGGTTGTTAGGACTTTTCCGAACCCGAACTCAATTTATACAAAGAGAAAGACCAAGGAACTACAAGTTACGCTATACTGTCCACTAACACCACCAGTTACTAAACAATCAGCGACGATGCACGACACTGACCGACGGTACTGACGTTCTACAACTAACTGGCTAACAGCTCTAGCACATCTTGGATGCGCACTCCAACAGCCTTCCAACTCTGGCACAAGCATCCCGTGCACTTGCTGATGCAATTGTTTGCTCCGAAGGACATCCGTCGTTCGACCTGCATGATGTCGACTGCTTGCGTGGCCTTCTCAAGAGGGTCAATGTTGTCCAGGAGACAACTGCTAAGCAGTCAACCATACTTTCTTATTTTAGCAAGAAGTAGTGTCCTGCCAATTATTATTTTCAGGTCTGTGTGTGTGTGTGCGTGTGTGTGCAAGAGTACATGTGAACATGTTCTCTGTTTTACTTTATCACTTTATCACTGTGTATATTCCTGGAGAACAGTTGAGAATATAAAGTTGTGCACCAAATACTTGGATCGACACGGAAAAACCCTGCGTTTTGACGTATAACACATGCATGCAATTGGGTAGGGCCGGGTCAGAGGGCAGGATTTCTTAATCCAGCACCCTCGTTAATCCAGCAGAAAACGCCGTAGCAAAAGGTGCCGGATTAGAGAGGGACGACTGTAGCATGTAACACACTCATACACGCACACAACACGAACGCAAACATTGAGCTATGTGTAGTAACATGAAAAGTCTCTTTCTCTCTCTCTGTCTCTCTCTCTCTCTCTCTCTCTCTCTCTCTCTCTCTCTCTCTCTCCCCTCTCTCTCTCTCTCCCCTCTCTCTCTCTCTCCCCCCCTCTCTCTCTCCCCCTCTCTCTCTCTCTCTCTCTCTCTCTCTCTCTCTCTCTCTCTCTCTCTCTCTCTCTCTCTCTCTCTCTCACTCTCTCTCTCTCTAATCCCTACTTGGCCTGGCTCTTGTGTATTCTGTGTTAGGCCACCAGAAGTGTTGTGGAGCGCCTGGCACCTGGCATCAGCACAGCAATGACAGTCAAGTCACTGGACATTACACCAATGGCCATGCTTTCCAGGTCAGTTTGGCAGCGACGCCTTTTGAACACTGCGGTGAAATCACTTGTAGTTCAAATGACCAGTCCTACTCTGGCGTATGTATGGTGTTGTTGGCACATGGCAAGTGCAATGAGTACTTTCTAGAATGGGTTATTAGTTCGTGGCAGCTATCGTTGCGGCGATGGAGTGTAGGTACGACCCCATGACCAGCACTGAGACGAAGGAAAGGTGTCCTGGTAAAGAGCACGGAGGCCCTGCCGCCCTTGCTCTACAAATTCACAAACGTGCTGTTCGGCGTGCATGGAGTTTGGGAAGCCAGTATGGCGCTGCCACGAGGGGGCTTGAGTTCTTTCTCAACTTGTACTAGTAGTGAAATGACAGATGCTATGAATTTCTGCCAGAGAAGATGTTAAGTTAAGTTGCTGCTTCAGGCTGCCGTTATTATCTTTTCAAAGTGCGTTTAGACCTCAGCTTACAGCCGTAGCCTTGAACAATCCTTTAGCATGTGGTATTGTTCTACGAATCAGCATGTTGTTCTTGACTTCACATGTGTCTGTTGCTCTTCTTTCTCTGGGCAGGGCTGTGTGCGGCATTCGCGGTAGCACTCTGATTTGTAACCTGCCCGGTAGCAAGAAAGCAGCGGCTGTAAGTCGCTGGCGGAACATTGCCGATACCCTGATGTGCGTGTTACTGTTTGTCCAGTATTCTCATGGTCTATAGCCTATCCGTACTCGTCAGTAGTCAGACATTACAACCGTGTGGTAATGTCGGAATACTGATGAAGTGCATGCTGTCACGTAACTTATTAAGCTAGCATATAATCTATTGGTGTTCATTCTAACAATAATAATAATAAGAGAATGACAAAAGTGTTTTACCTGCTAGTTTTACGCACTAAGCGATCATCAGAAAACAGTATTCGTGCTACTGCAGTATTCGTGCTACTGATGCCGATATCAACACCTCAAGATACCGTGGCTTTTTGGTCGAAAGCGGCTTTTGCCAACCAGCGTATTACATAGAGAGGAGTTCATAATGTGTGCAGTTAGCCTGACCTGTCCTGTTTGGATAATCCGTCCTTGCCGGGTTGTTTGCTTTGTTGTTTTTGTTTAGGAATGCTTTGACATTATCAGACCAGCTCTGCAACATGCGAATGGTTAGTTTTTGTGCTAGCTGTATGCCCAACTCGATCAGGTTCTTCTAAGGCTCCGTTCACACGAGAATAATAGGCCAAGGTCTGGCTGATGAATTCTGGGTTTGTCTTAGGGTGAAAGCCACAACTTTCAAGAGTGTGCGACTCCACTCAAATTTTTCTTCAGTGTTACGTCATTCTTCATGATGTAATCCACTTTGCTGTTCAGAAAACTGCTAATTGTATGCGGTTGACCTTGCATCTTGTATGCACACCTACACACACACACACATGCACGTGCACACACACACACACACACACACGTGCACACACACACACACACACATACTTTAGCAGTATGGCACGCTTGCCTTGCTGGTCTGTGAAGTATGTGTGTATGCTCCATTTCTCTGCCTTGTTTTTCAGACCTACTGGTGGACAACACTGCTGCAGTAACAGACACCCATGCTGCACTAGCTGGCCATAGCATGGTAAGCTTGTGTGTGTGTGTGTGTGTGGGGGGGGGGGGGGGGTAAACCGTGTCTTGACTTCCTATCAGACCGATTAGCAACTACACGTAGTTTGCTTGCATGGCAAACACTAATTATTGGCGATGGTCGGTCAGAATGTGGGAACAGCGGCCTTCCAGGTGATGCCAGATATGCTTCATGGCTAAGGACGCTGCTAGCAATTCCCAACTGAACGTGTTGTAGGGAGTCTGGGCTAGTTGCATTCTCTTGGAGAAGAGTGCGAGTGGCTGCCATCAACAAGCTGTTGAAGTGCCCCACTAACTTCGGCATCTGATGCGTTCACAACGAGCTGTAGGGGTGCATCAGGAATGGGTTGAATGAGCAGAGTTGCTGCAGCAAGCGCCTCTTTGGCAGCATGAAATGCAGCGACAACAGCAGTGTCGAGTTTCAGTAGGCAATTCTGCGGACGCCGAGGTCCACCAAGCAGATCCCTCAGTGGCTGGAGGATGTCGGAAGCCTTGGGCTTTTCAAAACTAGCACTAAATGATTCACCTGCTTGCCCAAAAGCAGCAACAGCAGCAGTAAACTCAACCAAAAAAGTACTTAGCTTTTTTTTATTACACCCTGGACTTGGGCATCGTTGATTGGCTGCAGTTGTAAGTAGAGATCGGACGATGCGTAACGACACTTCCAAGATTTTTTGTTTGAGTCGCCTCTTGGCTGGTCTTTACTGATCCGTTAACCTGGACTATATGTCTGGGGCGGTCATGACGAACTTTAAATAGAAGCAGGTTTCGGCACACCAGTTTGTGGTGACGGCTACATTCACCCTGGACGCTTGTCACACACAAAACACTGTTGGGACTAGATTGCTCTTGTTTAATCCAGTGCAGTGTGCATCACGAGGTTGCAACTGGAAAAAGAAAACGACTAAAATGGCCAAAATACTACAGTGCTGCTCAATGAAATCCAGCCGATGCACTCATGTATGCGCCTGGGGGCGTTGCGCAGCCCTAGACCTGCGAACGCTGGGATTCGAAATGGTGCAAGGCGCAAACTTGAGTACCGCGACTGGATTTCATTGAGCAGAAAAGTATGCGAAATGCAGCCATGCATAAGATGTCGCAATGCCGAAAATGGTGTTGAACAAGTGACTCATGAAAAATAGTTGAATATGTTAATTAAAATTTCTACGTTGGCCTAAAATACGTACTGACGCGAAAGCACTTGAGAACGCAAGATAAATTCATGGGATCGTGAGATTCACGACAGTGCGTTCGTGCTTGCGTGCGTGCGTGTGTGTGTGTGCGTGCGTGCGTGCGTGCGTGCATGTGTGTGTGTGTGTATGTGTGTGTGTGAATGAAAAAAATGGAAAAAATGAAAAATAGGGATTCACTGGCCAGATAAAGCCACTTCAATCAGCTGTGTGGTGGATACCA